TCTATGAATAGCCATTAATGTTACTTTTGCAAAATATTAATGGAAGTGATGATTTCCTTCCCTAGTCTTTCTAATAATTGAAACTGTATGGTTTATAGCAAGTGGACTAAATAAAAAAATTGGTTTTTTACACACAGACATAGCAGGAAAATTTATAAAAATGCAAACATAAGACTAGATTTTTAATAGCAGTAAACTAGTGTCATACCATTAGGTTCCATGGAGCTGCTCCAGTATGCACTGGCCGTTTCAGTGCTTTCAATCTGAGGATTGTATCTACAGTAATGACATACTATAACACGCAAGCAGTTAAGGTGTTTTGCAAATGTGCTACTGAAAATCACTGGAATAGAGGCTTCTCAACAAGGACAGGCTGGAAAGGCGAGGGGGGAGTTGCCCTTTATGTGCAAGAGCAGTGGGAATGCATGGTGCTCAGCCTCGGGACAGATGTGGAGGCAGCTGAAAGCTAATGGGTCAGAATTAGAGGGCAGATCAACATGGGCAACATTGTGGTGGGTGTGTACTGCAGACCACCTGATTGGGAAGAAGCAGATGAGGCCTTCTTCAGACAACTGGAGGAAGCCATGTGATAATTGATATGTCTTTCTCTCCAGAATAGCAGTTATCAAATGCTCAGCTTTTCCCACAGACCTTAAAATGAGATGGAAATGGATCTTGTATCCAGAAACTGCACCAAGATCCTCACTGTGCCACACTATAATTTAGATATCAAGAAACTGGCACAAAGTCGAATTCTACCACCGTGGCCATTGTATGTAAGGATTTGCAGCAGCATAGCAAGGCATGAAATTTCAAACTATGCAGTTTCATACAATTGGCATTATAAGAAGCTATGCAGCTTATCTAAGAATGGGAATTCACTTGTATTGTATTTTCATTATACCTCATCCTATGACACAGTACAGCTACGCTGGTACTGAGAATTGCTGAAAAATTTTAACAACTGTCCAACAGAAAAGGAAATGGATTCCAAACCATACCCAAGTGGAAGAGCACACCATAGAACGTATGTTGGTATAGTAGATGCATGCATGAGTAAGAAAAAGGAAGGGGAAAATAAAGGAAATTTTAAAATGCCTTCCAAGGTCATCAAGCCAAAATATGCATCCACAACAGCATCTTGTTCAGTCAGGACTGCACTTCTGGTGCAGATGTAATAGTTCTGATAGTTCTCGCGTCCCACTGGTTCATACCATGGAGGAGTCAGGCAGTGAATACAGTGGATTCCTTTTGGACAAAACTGATCTGAGAAATGAGCTCCAAGAATCCATTTACTTAATCAAAATTGCATATATGTTTTAAGTCCATAGAATGAGAGTAGAGTTGGTCCAAAGTAAAATCCCCTAAATCTGTATAGTATGAGCAGCACATCTTTAGCACCAAGTCTATTACTCTTTAAATCCACCCTTTTCAGGTCACATTACCTCCTAACATAGACATACCTAAAGATGGCAACTACAGTTGGAAGACATTAAGATCAAGCTATGTCCCCTGATAAATCAAGTGTTTGGAGATCATTCAAAGTTACTGACAAGATAAGTATTTTGTTAGTACAGGTAGTATTGTGACAGTATGTATTTCACTCAAATTACAACTCATTCACTGTAATCCAAGATGAAAATCTGAGCGAGGAAAACAGTGAAATGCTTGCTTTGATAAGAATTGTCAGGTAGGACATAGTGCAATGAAGGACAGTGAGAGATCATGATATATTCTCAAAGGACCACAGTGTCAGAGGAATCACATTTGAGGCAGTCTCTGCTCAAAGAAAAACTTGAATTCAGTGCCACCTCTAGCTGGCAAGTAAACTAAGTGAGAAGTTTTGGCAGATCAGCATATCCCTGCAAAATATTTTAGTTGTACCAAATCAGCATTTTCTGACAAACTTATTTAATCCTTAGGGTGTTTTTTTCATCATCTCCGATTTGTAAGGTAACACCCACCAGCACAAATACAAGAACAGAAGAATAATTAACTACATCTGGCCAGCCATTAGGTTTTGTCTTGCAAAATAATATTAATGCTAATGAAGAAGGGTTAAAGCCCTGTCTGAATTAATGAATTTTATATTTTTCCAGTGTTATATTCATGCCAGTTAGCAGACTCCAGAAAAGCTCCTCTATTTAAATTGATGATGAGGATATCAACAGCTAAATAAAATTCAAATAGAAGCTTAGAAATCCATGCTTCCTTGAAGTGGTGGAGTGATTCAGCATGGTAATTCTTATATTTTGTGCACTTCTCTTCCACCCAAACTGAGAAGATTTCATTCTAAGGAATCATGATTTCAGCTAGAGCTCTTTTCAAAAAGCAGCACGTTTCATGCTTTCTTAGGACATCCTGAGAACTTTCCCCCAGCCCCCATGAAGTGACAGTCTTCCTAACAGTTGGCTCGGCAATTTTAATGGTATCATTTTTAATGGTATCTCTTGATTTCACTTTTTTTCCTTTCACCATGTTCTCTGTGGTTGCCCCCACTAATTTTTATGATCCTTTTCCCTTTATACCACATCTAATACTACATCTATACCATCTACACCATACTTTCTGATCATCCATTTCCCCTTGTCTTTCCTTCTCTCTGCCTGATTCTACATGTACTTTTCACTTTTTCATCCCAATCTCATCAGGTCTTCCAGACAGAACACAGAAAAAAAACAGTTTTCTTTTGTTTGCACATATATTTGCATTTAATATGTTAACTATGACAATATTAATATGTAAATAAGCATGCACATGCATACATGCATATTCACTAGCCTGCAGCGCAAGAGGGGTCTTAAGAGTTTGTTTCTGTAGATGGAGTCCAAAGCCCTGACTTAAGGTTTTCTACAGCCCAGAATTCTTTCCCAAGGATAACTGCATTCTGTTTTAATTCAAAGAGCAGCCAGAAAAGCCATGTTGAGTAATATCCTAGCTATTAAAATATATTGCCTTGCTACATATTTACCTGAAAAGCACTTAGATATGTGAATCCTCTAAGCTGGAGGAGATGACTCATCCTAAGGCCTCCCCAGTTTCGGATGACTGCCTTCACAAAGCCAATGAACAGGTGAGAGGCTCCACCCTTGCTGCAGCTGGCTGTGTTTAGCTGTTTTTTTGAGCAGCCTTGAGATGGCTCAAGCTGAGGGGTCTTTGTACTACTTCAGCAGCTAGTTCCCTGATCCTAGTGAAGCTTAGGCAGGAGATGGTTACTGAGCTGGTGATACTGCAATGACACTAATCCTCAGGAGAACAGAAATAGAGCTGCTTGGAGAACTTTCAGGTCCAACAAGGAGGATCCTGGTGAGGTTGGGTGCCTGCCTATTGTGGGAACAGTTTGGAGCTTTGGACAAGTTCTTTTGGTAGGGCATATCTTTAGTGCTGAAAATAGCAAGATGCAGAGTAGGGCACTTACATAAGGCCTGCCTGCAGAGGGATGAGGCCCCTCTGTACAGCAGCTCTGCACACGTAGAACAAGGAGGCTCTGAAGGAGGGAGCAACATTACAGCAACAATTTGCCTGGTCTGCTGCCTGGTTCAGTGCAGTAGGTGCATTTATCAAGTCAATATTCACACTAATGAACAGGGCTTGCAAACCAAGTTTCCTGCCTTCTAGACAGATACTCTTCTCATCATCATGTTATTCTGCAAGACTTAGATGCTGCTACCTCCTTCTCTTCTGCCAGCAGCTATGTTTGGAGGGGAACAGGAGGGTGTTATTGTGTGGAAACTGGTGATATAAACATGCAATATTTAGGCACTTCATTAACTGTCTGACCATGATTTTTTTTACAATCTGAATTGCTCTCTTGAACCTCAGTGCCTTGAACCTAGGTTGAAAATTAACTGTTGTGCTGTTATAGGCAACCTGAATTCCTAAATAAGTTAAATGTCTAGGACCTAAAATTCATGTAAGTCCTTATTTGGATTTATCCTCTAAGCATTCAGTCTTGCTTCTTTTTCACACTAGAAATTCTCAGAGGGGGACCAGCATCCATTGCATGCTGCACACTGCTATGAATTTGAGTCTTGAAAATTACTTTCTTTATTATCATAGTATTTTTTATACAAATTAACTTAGAACCAGAAAGAAAGAGTACACTGCAAGAGTAAAAACACTAGATGCAAAGAAGAAAGAGCAAGGTTAAAAGTAGGTGGGCTACAAAGAAAAATTAAAATAATGATTTGTGACAACAAAGCCGTGAACTCTGATTTTCAGGAGGGTACTGATATTAAGGTGATGAGGCACAGTAGTCCTTTTACAGGAATGATCTTATGAACACGTCAAGAATCTGCAGCCATGCACTTCATCTGGGTTCTGGATGTCCGGGCTTTAAGGTGTATTTGCCTGCAGCAGCACAACGCAAATAATTATTTCGTACTGGTGACTTGCTTTGCCCCACCTACATGTGTACCACCACCACCTGTATGCGTGTACCGCACAGAGGTAATCACTGTTTCTTCCCTGTTGGGATGAAACTACCTTTATTTCAAGAGGTAAACTACCTGATCCCATAGTCATTACCATTTTATGTGCATAAACACCATTTTATATTCAGCAAGTCTGCCTAAAAATAAGGGGAAATCTTTGATGAAGCTACATGCCAGAATTTGTGCTATGTATAGAATAGTCTAAAATAAATATGATTATTTAAGTCTGTAATATTTGCAAAGTTTTGTGGGATTTTAATTATCTCTGTTAACTCTAATGAGAGTTACATTGTAAAAATCTTATTTACTTATTTTGTTGTCCCAAGTAGTTTAAAATTTCTGTCTTCAGACTTTTTAGATTTCATTGGAAGAATTTACACCTGTACTTTTACATTACCTGTGTATTGTGTTGTTCCAATCAATACTGTAATAGTAGGACTGTACCTATATTTTAATTGTCTCATTAATTGTTAATGTATGTTTTTGTATCTTAATTTCTGATATCAAAGTTGCTATTTTTTTTACATTTGAACTTTTACAATACAGTATTTTTCTTTTTTTCTTCAGGGCCTGAAGGAGCACTTTTTGAACACTCTGTAGAAACACCACTTGTCAAGGCAGAAGCTTTTAAACAACTTAGGTAAGAATTTATACATAAAAACATAAATCTAATAGGTAAACGTTGTTTGCTGTAGATATTCACATTTTCCTGAACAAGGGATTTTCAACAGCATTTACAGAACTACTAATTAATAACTGTTTTTTTCTATTTTATGTGACAAGTTATTGTTTTGAAGGAAAATTATACATTGCTCTGCAGTTTTGAAATATATTATGAATGACTTATTGCTGATGGTGAATATTTAAAGCTACATAAAATACTGTGGAAAGTTTTTCTGTAAACTTCTATTTTTCAATTTTGAAACACTTAAGTATGACTTTTTCTCCAATAGAAGTTGCTTGTCTGCAGTAGGTCATCAACCTATAATTAGTCACGATTTTTAGAAACTAGTATCACTATGAGGAAACAGGCTAATGAGAAAAATTTGGAAGTGTGCAAAACTCTGCATCACTAAAGAGCAGTTTGGGGTAAGAAAATCATTATAAAGTACCTTGTATGTTTCAGAGCTCCTTAACTCTGGGATAGCATTTCTTTGTGCATTATTCTACGTAATTTTGAGTATTCCAAATCGGTTTATAGCATGTTGGTTATGATGAGGTAATAAACTCATTTTACGTTCTGTTCATGAACATGTTATGTTTCATTTTATAAGCCATTTCAAAGAAAGATTTGAAATGAAAGAGGATCTCTAACAATTATGCTTCTGTCCTTTCATACCTTGGCAGTCTGCTACTTTCTGTCATAATTTCTCTTCTTAGTGTTTCTTTTCCAACAGGGATAACTATTAGAGAGTAGTAGAAGATAATTAAAGCTTTCAAGAACACTGTATCTTGGTGACTGACTTTTCAAATTGAGAATGGCAAATGAGAGGCAGACTATTAAGATACTTCTTTTAATTTTCTCCTTGGTATTTAAGATTTACTTACAGTAAGACACCTTGTGCTTGCATTTGAAGACAGAATGAGCTCAAGACATTAGTTTTTACATGTTGATCTCCACTTTCAAAAATGTGTTTCTTCTACTGTGGTAGAATTTGGATGTGACATACTTTGACCAATACGTAGGATTCTGCACTGTAGTGAACGTTGTCTGGTTTTGGAGGGAGTGGATTCATTATGTTGTAAATTTGTCATTTCCTGTGATTATCTCAGTTTTGATAAAGTAGGACATTTTGTAATTACAAAACCGAGAAGCTCTCTGCAAATTTTAACTGGATACATATCAATTGTTTTCTGTGGTTGTTACTTTGCTTCAAATGCATCATCAATTAATAATATTTTAATAGGCTTAAAGCTAATAGTTTTATCCTACAGCCATTATGCTATGTTACATTTTAAGTTCTTATCTGCACTTCATTTAAAAACAATTACACTGTTTCAGACTACATACAACTATTATTATAATTTTTCATCTGTTTTTGAAATAGGATATAATTTGAAAGAAAACATTGAGATGAATTCAAAGTGTTTGTGAAGTTCTTCTGCATGGATGAGTTTACCTCGTGGCTTATCTCTTTAGTCTAGATTTTTACCATGTTAACTATAAGCACATGTTTTGATCTAGAGTGTTGCTATGTGTTAGCAGAGCTCGAGTGTAATAGTTAAAATCCCATTCGGTTCTGTCTTCAATTAACTTAAAATAGTGGGAAGTACAGATTCTTCCAGAATTTACAGAAGTTACGCTAATAATAATTATAATGTCAAGGAAGTACCTACATGGCCACATCAGCACTGACACATGCAACTGACATTAATATCTGACATAAATCCAGAGCTGCTAAACAGCTGTGCTAGAAACCGAGTTAGCTTAACCTCAAGAAAAATGCTGAATATCAGGGCATGAAGCTGTGCAATGAATACAGCACTCACTCATGTCCTGGCTGGCAGCTGAAGACCTGAAGCTTACCCAGAGCAGTTCAAAATGCCTCATTCCTTTAATTTTTTTTTTTCTGTCTTTACCACCCGTAATCAGTGTCAAGTCTGAAAGCAGAGATGGCAATGATTCCATGGAGGGCTTCTGGGGAGGATCGAGAAGCACATGCGTTTGTCTGCAGTGCAGATGCTAAGTTAAGATATAGACAGAGAAGAGCAATTTACAAGGCTCATGTTGGAAAAAGGTTCTTTTCAAGGGTAACCTTAAACATCAGCGTAAACAAAATTCATGCATTCTGTTGTGAAGGGGCTGAGACAAGTTTACCAATGAATGGCAATTTTGTAATGCTTTATAAATATTGTTTCATTCCACACTGTTAAATACAGGAAGCTACTTACTGAAAAGCACTTCAATATGAAAATTTAAGATGCAATTTTAAGTATTACTTTTCTGTTTTAAATTTGAATATGCTTCCTTTCCAGATTAAGGTAGGAAGTATCAAGTTATAGATGATGATGATGATGATAATAATAATAAGCAAATAATACTAATTTATAATAAAAGCAAATAGTAATAATAAGCAAATAGTAATAATAAGCAAATACCCTATTTGCTCTCCTCAAGCCTTATCTCCGCACTTACACGATGTATTAATCCTCTGCTATTTTTCCTCTGTTTTGCCCTCAGTGGTTGTGCTGTGCCATGTGAATGTGATATGCTGGGTGAATGTGATATAAAGTGCCACGGTATGCAGCATTAAATGTAGGGCATCCTGCTTCAAGGAAACCCATCCAGTTCAAATGTAGTTGCATATTTCAAGGAGCTGACTGGAAAGCTGTTAATGCTTGTAACTTTTCAGCTTGTGTCATACGAACGGAGGCCGCATTCATTCTCTGTCATTCAGATTTAGGGCAGTATCGCAAACAAAGCTGACACAAATGGCCTTCTGAATTACACATTCTGCTGGCTTTCCTGTCCAAATGCCGAATTTCAAGATAGACCACTTTTCTGGAAACAAAGAGATAAGTGTGTTAGAACATATCTTTTTGTAGCTAAGTAATGGAGACAGAGCAATACAATTATTCTGTGGTCAGTAACTGTCTTTTCATCTTGTAATTTGAAGGGAACACATAGAGTCCTTTTCAGTCTAATAGATTGAATTCGTGACTCACCCGTAAAGAAAAAGAGATGTGCTTGCACTTGCTTCCAACTGGTAGGAAGAATTATAGTAACAAAATCTACATTTCAAAATTGAAGTATTCCTAGGTTTAAAATAACATTGCCTACTTTTGAATTCCTTTCCTGGAGTTCTTATCTCTACCTAAGATACCTAGTTTCCATTTACAAAATTTGTTAAGACTTTAGGACGCAGTGGAGACCTAAAAACAGAGTGACATGTAAGAAGTGTCTGACAAACATCTCAATGTCATGGTTACAGTCAACGAGAAGATTTGGATATATCCAGGAAATATCCTCCCCAGACAATCACCACTGAAGAGGTACCAGGTTAAAATTAGCCAGTTGTAATTAGTGAGAACAGAAATATGTCTGGACTCCTACTTGTCTCTGCAATTCAGTTGCCTGGTGTAGTCAAGTGCCTACGCAGCTTCCAGGTGCAGGGGTGCTTCTTTGACAGCAAGTGGCTATCTGTTGAGACATATCTGCTTTCCTTTGGCTGAACCTGCTCTTCTGTGTGGTCATGTGACCACAGGAGAGCAAGCAAGAGGCAGCACAAGTTCGTCTGGTGGTTAGGGCATTCAGCCAAGAACAGGAAGAGACCAGGGGGTTGCAGTTATGATTTAAAAAGCAATCCTGGAAGAAGAACCAGATGAATGTCTTGACCACTAGGTTATCTCCTCTTTGTTTGCTCGGTTTCTTGCCAGACTACTTGATTGTGCAAAGACTGACATTCAGCCCAGGGATGACCATAGTCCAGCTCTGTACTCCCACCAAGCTGTTTTGTAGTCTGGTAAATAGAGGTAATAGATACAGGTTTCATTCCCCTCAAGATGAGGAGGGATTGAACTGATGCTTCATAATTCCTTGCTGAATAGCAAAATCAATAGGATTGTATTATGTGTACTGTAACATTATATATATTATAGTATATATTTTATATATTGTTTAGAATATTTTAAAAAGATAGAAAGTGTTACCTCTTCCATGGTTTTCCATGAAAGTGGCTATAGCCTTTGTGCTTTGATGTGTATTTGTCATGTTGAGAACTTGCCTCAATCAGGTCTTCTGGGGGCTTCCATGGACTTTAGCTGCCACCTCTAACTGGATCACAGCAAAGTTCTAATGGAAACCAGGTACCTTGCTTTCCAAAAGCAGGAATTTAAACAGAATTATAGAAGTCCATGTTCAGACACATGACTTGTGACCGAAGATGTAGGTGGGAAATATATAACAGCAACTAATGGAACTAGCTGCTGTAGACAGAGACATTTTTAGCAATTCCCTAAAAGCCAGCTTCTCCCCAGGTTCCATGTTAGGTACTGGAAGTAGCCTCTTCTGATACTATCCAGAGTTTCATGCCAGCACACATACCCTTTTATCCCTAGTTATCAAATAACAATCTCTTCGTGAAAAACTAGTGTCTCAGTTTAGACATTTTTCTAGTTTGATGCTAACATATTGTTCTGATACTTTATAGGACTTTAGACTATTATTTAGCATATTGTTCTATTCCTCCTGTATTTCATATCCCTGAATAATACGTAACTCGTACATAGTTTTGTCATTTTGATACTGTTTGTGTCTTGTGATCTACACATCTTGTGGTTTTCTAAGGGAAAACAATGGATCAGCAAAGCTGTGTGAATCTCAAAACAATGTTTCTGAACTGAGCACTCATATTTCTGGAACTAATGGAAATGTGCTTACAAAAGTGACATCTTTCATTTATTAACTAACTGTATACTACGCATAATGAATATAATGCTTGTAGATGCATACTAGCTTTGTTCTTATATTTGCCATAAATGCATGTCCGACAGCCAGCAACTGTGCCTTCTGAGCACAAATCCCATGGGAAATCACTTTTAGTACAGTCAGTTTGTGGTATTTTGCCAGTTCTTCAACTGAGGGTTTACATCCAAGTTCAAAAGTGACCCACATCATTCCACCCTTCTTGCATTTGAAAA